CATTAAATAAGAGCAATTTTTAAAAATTTATTTATTATGTATACAACATTCTGCCTTGATGTATGCCCGCATGCCAGAGGAGGGCGCCAGATCTCAGCACAGATGGTTGTGAGCCACCATGTGGTTGCTGGGAATTGAACTCAGGACCTCTGGAAGAGCAGCCAGTGCTCTTAACCTCTGGGCCATCTCTCCAGCCCCAATAAGAACATTTTTATACAATTATAATGAGCATGATTAATAAAAACCCAGAGACAGGTATTAGAGTTCAATCTGAAGGTCAGAAAAGCAAAACAGCCAGCCACTGGCTCTTACCTCTCCACCTCAGTCTGAAATGCAGTCCTGGAGTCTCAGAGTGAGACTGTGTCTGAGAGCTGTCTGCTCCATGACTGGGATGGGAAGAGCCAGTGATGGGCTATTTTGCTTTACTGACCTTCAGGCTGAACCCTAATATCTGTCTCTGGGTTTTTATTAAGCGTATTACATTTGGTGCCCAAGGTGGGGGCTAACTTATTCTCTGGTCTTCAGGCAAGCTTTATTTATTAAAATACAAATGAAATATCACTACATTTTACAAATGAAATATCACTACATTTATATAATCTACACCTGGAAGCCCCCTTTTGCTCTAGACATTTTTCACTCTACATTCATGCCATACACACATGGTTTTATACATCTATTGAAAATCTAGGAACAACAGATAAGGGAAACATACAATATTTGCCATTCTGAGACTGGCTTCATTTATATGATTATTTTGGGTTACATCCATTTTGCTGAAATCGTAGCTTCATTCTTCTTTGTGACTGGATACACACATGCACCTCACCTTCCTCTGCTGTTGGACACCTAGGTTGGTTCCGTCATTAGACTGCCGCTGCAATGAGCATTGATTCTCAAGCTGCTCCGTGAGACGCTGCCTTGGGCCCCAGGGGTGCTGTTAGCTGGGTCATATAGTAGACAACTGTTTTCAGGATTCTGAGGAAAACCTCCTCCATCATCGCCATGGTGGCTGCACTTGTTCACATTCCCACCAGCATCATGGAAGGCTTCCCTTTCCACATCACCACCAGCACTTATTTTTCTGTTTTGACTTTTGGAGAATGAGTATTACATTAACATCATTTACCACCCCCTCCTTCCCCCAAGTTCTGCCCTCTTCTTTCTTTTTCAACCATGCAACAAAACTTATATTAACATTTTTAACAACGGTTCAGCTATTACTGAAACTTGTTAATTTCTCAACTTAAATTGGGGCAAATGGCTATTGTGTAGAGTAATGTCATCATGGCCCCTGGAAGTACAGACTGAAGAATTAGTAGTCATCCCTCAGATGGAGGACCAGGTGCAGGGTGGACTCTTTCTGCATGTTGTAATCAGAAAGAGTGTGGTCATCTTCCAGCTGCTTGACTGAAAAAACGAGTCACTGCTGCTCTGTGTGGGGGGCATATGCCCTCTTTATCCCGGATCTTGTCTTTCACGTGATGGGGTCACTGGGTTCTGCCTCTAGGGTGATGGTCTTGCCAGTCAAGGTCTTCACAAAGATTCGCCTTTTGACCTGTTATTCAATGTGATGAAACTGCCAAGAGCATAGAGATGCCTAGAAACAAGGACCACCGAATTGGACAAAGCCTTTTGTCATTCTGTTTTTGTTTTCTTAATGAATGCCATAATGGCTAGGGTGAAGTGAAAATTCAATGGAGCTTAATTTACTTTAAAGTATTTTTTAACTTTATTTTTAATTATGTGTATTTGTGTATCTGTATCTGGCCATTTGAATTTCTTTGAAGAACTGTTCACTAGCCCATTTCTTTTGAGTGGCTATATTTCTTTAGATTTTTGATTTCTGTGAATATCTAGATAGCAATCCTGTTAGACAAGCAAATATATTTTCATTCAGGACTAGGACTGTCTCTTCACATAATGGTTTCCTTTTCTGTGCAGATTTTAATGCTTGAGGCCCTATTTCCTAAGAGTTGGTCTGATTTCCTGAACAATTGAAATATTGTTCAGAAAGTCCTTGCCTAAGATTCTGGAAGCTTTTATTTTATTTTTCCTCTAACAATTTTAGCTTAAAGACTTACATTAAGGTTACTGAAGCGTTTGGAGTTGATTTTTTAGACAGAGTAAGAGGTAGGGTTCTAGTTTTGTTCCCTCTGTGAGTATCCAGCTTTCTGAGCAATGTTTGTTGAAATGACTTTTTTCTAATGTATATTTTAGCATCTTTCTTAAAATGAGGTGGCTCTGGCTGTGTGGGTTGATGTCTGGGTGCCGTTTTACTCCACAGGTCTGTTTTGCTAGTATCATGCTCTTTCACCACTGTAGCTACAGTACAAGGAAAGAAGTTAATACCTGCAGAACCCGGCCTGCCTGGGCTGTCAGAGTCTTTTGTGCATCCACGTGAATTTGAAGATGGTTCCTTTGCTTTGTGAGGATGGTATTGCAATTTCCATGGGATCCCACTGGATCTGCAGTGCCATTGGCAAGTTAGTCTTTCCACAGTGTTCATATTCGAATTCCTGAACATGGGAGGTTCTTCAAGTCTATCATATTCATGGTTAGGTTTATTTCTAGGTGTTTGTTGTTTCTTTCAGTTGTGAGGTGATTCCTTCCCCAATTTTCTTAGCATGGTTGTTACTAATTTTTATATGTTCGTTTCTTTATGTGCATTCTGGGGATTGAATTCAGACCTGCAGGCTTGAAAGCAAGTACCTCTGCCTGCTGCCACCTCACTGCCCACACCTGTTTCCTCCCACCTGCTAACAAGTATTTAATAAAGGGTCAGCTCATTCTCACTGAGGCTTGAGACCTTGTTTTTGTCTCTGAAACATTGTTCTTTCTTTCTCACTATTCATCCCTCCTCCCCTTGAGACAGGACTCCTCTATCATGTACCCTTGGCTGTCCGAGAACTCACTATGCAGACCAGGCTGGCCTTGAACTTACAGAGATCCACCTGACTTTGCCCTCCAGCTTTTGGGATTAAAGGTGAGAACCACCACACCTGGCTTAAACTCAGTTTCCTTAAAGGATACCTATTACAGGGCACCCATGTAGATTTATGTTTTCCCTTCACTTATCAAATATGTGGATTTAATTTGAAGCTCAATATGGATTGCCAGAGATGGAGGATTTCCCTCTGTATGCTGTGATTACCATTAATGAAAAAAGAAATTGCTTTGGACCTAAGTTTTGGGCAGAACTTAGGAAGGTCGGGGAAAACTAAACTGAATGCTGGGAGAAAAGAGGCAGAGTCAGGGATAAGCCATGGAGCCACTGGCATAGGCAGACTGCTGAAACTTTGCTGGGAGGCCATGACCTCATGGTGATGCACAGATTAATGGAGATGGGTTAAATTAAAATGTAAGAGTTAGTCAATAAGAAGCTAGAGTTAATGGGCCCAGCAGTGATTTAAATAATATAATTTCTATGTGATTATTTTGGGGCTAAACTGATGAGCAGCTGGGAAGCAACAAGTCCTCCCTCCAACATGCCAGCTATCCACACTTTCTTCTTGTCTTTCCAATTATGTCTCCTGTGTAAACGTTCATGTTTTAGTCAAAATAAAGGCCATCTGGGCAGCAAGAGTAACTCAGTAGTATTTCCTGCTCATTTAGACGTGAGCTAGACCTCCAGCATAAAATAACTTTTAAGGCTTCTACTCTTTCACCATGCTTGGCTTATAATTTTTTCTTTTATCCTTATTTTTATTTTCCTTTTCCCTTGAATATCCTCTTTATCAACTAAACCCTGCTTTAGCATCTACTCTCTGCCTCATGACAGACCAGCACTGGGAATACAGGGAGTGATAGATCACAGCTCTTTGCAAGGCTCATGTGACCTAAGGGAAAAGTCAGAGATAAGCAATACTGACAACTCATCACATTTCTGTTAAAGTTGGTGGTTGTTGTTTGTTTCTCAAAACATGTCAACAAACAGAGCTATCGAGATGGTTGAGTGTGCAGGGCACTTTCCCGCAAGCTTGACACCCTGAGTCTGAAAGCCAGAGCCCAAATGGTGGAAGGAGAGAAGAGTCCCTCTCCAGGTTCTCTGGCTTCTTCACGTGTGTGAGAGCATGTACCACATCAGTAAATTAAAGAAGTAAAAGACTGTCAAGAAAGGGAGTCCTTGAGACTAGGGAGATGGCTCAGTGGTTAACAGCACTTGTGGCTCTTGCAGAGGGCGGATTCTGTTCCCAGAACTCACATGGTGGCTTACAGCCATCCCTAACTCCAGTTTCAGGGGATCTGATGCCCTCTTCTGATCTTTGTGGGGACCAGGAACACACATAGTAAATACACATATATTCAGGCAAAAAGGTTATACATATAAAACAAACATACACACACACAAACAGGCCCGCACACACACATGCACACAAACATGCACATATGGAATATTTCAGTAATTCTGGCTCAAGAGGCCAAGATTAGTGTTCATGTATTCTCTTCTAATACTAACCACTGTTTCTGCCACTCAGCTATTTCAAAGGCAAAGACAGTCTTTTAATGAATCATAATTGTGTACTACTGAATATACTAAAGAAAACAAAGTCCCCGTCTGCTGCTAATTGTCCTAGCAGTTTCACAGCAATGAAGTCATTTGTTGGTCTCCCCTCACCAGGACTCCTCAGTGCTGCTGTGTCTAATTCTCACTCTGCTGGGCCAGGCTGCTATTTCAGCAAATCTTTCTAGTCCAGATTTTATTCCTTCTGTCATGCTTCTCAACAAACATACAGGAAAAGTTCTCTCTATACATCATCTCTTGTAAGCTTTCTTACAAGAAATTTTTCAATTTTTATCAATTTTCAATGAGGAAAATGTGAAACATTTGTGATTATTCTTGGGAATATGTGATCATTATTTTTGCTCACCACCACCTGAGGACATCGGCCGCATCCTTTCTACTCACGTTGCTGTCCTGTGAGGTTTAGCACACAATGGTGTTGGCAACTGAGCAATAACAATCCACACTGCTCAGGAGACTTTAAAGGTCAGGCGGATTAGCGGAAGAGTAAATTAATTTTATTGACTGATGAAAAACTAAAGTCATAGGTTTGGACAAACAACAATAATCAAGTTCTGCTGGTATTCTATATTTTCTTTTAAGTTTAAGCCAAAAGAACATCGAATTGTAGACTATGAGTGAGCTAGTTGCTTTTAGTTCCTTCAACAGAAACTGCACAGGTGGGCAGTTGCACAGCATCAAATACACACATTTCTGCAAAACTCTGACAGTGCTGTGTGATGACCGCAAAGGCTGCCGTAATCACCTACACTGGTCGGACTCAGGGTTCCTTTTCCCTTTTCTGCCACCCTGGAAGGAAAAACAGCACATTATTTAGACACACCAGCTCCGGCCTTCTTTAGTGCATGAGCACACAAAATCAAAAGCAAAGCTAGGTATTCTACCTGGCTGCTCTCACAGTTACTTTTACAAATGCTACATGAAGTAATAGTATTTCTATGCAGACCTATTTAGGTTCATTAAATAATATCACAAATATCTAATTTTTCAGAGTTCACTTTATCCTAAATACTGTAAAAAGTACAAAGTTTATTCATTTAATATAATCAGAAAATTTGGAAATTCAGTTAATTACATTTTGGTAATTTAGGGCTGGAGAGATGGCTCAGTGATTAAGAGCTTTGCCTGCTCTTCCAAAGGTCCTGAGTTCAATTCCCAACAACCACATGATGGCTCACAACCATCTGTAATGAGATTTGGTGCCCTCTTCTGGCCTGCAGGGATACATGCAGGCAGAACACTGAATGCATAATAAATAAATAAATCTTAAAAAAAAACCATTTTGGTAATTTAATTTATAATTTATGTATAGTTATATTCTTACTAAATAGTATTAGAATTTAACAATTTTTAAATTTATTTTCTTCATATGGGCGTTTTGCCTGCACATATGTCACTGTACTACTTTAATGCCTGGTGCCCAGGGAGGGCAGAGGAGAGCATCAAATCTCCTGGAGCTAAAGTTACAGAGGGTTGTGAGCTGCCATGTGGGTGCTGGGAACTGAACCTAGATCTTCTGGAAGAACAGTCAGTGCTCTTAACTGCTTAGCCAACTCTTCAGCCCCAGTATTAGAAATTTGATTTTCAGACTGGGACTAAGGGCAAAACACCCATACACGTAAAATAAAAATAAATACTTAAAAGTTTAAGAATATACTAAAAGTATATTTTGCAGCTGTATTAGGAGTACGTCAGGCCAGGCTCATCTGGAAGGGCAGCAGCTTCTCTTCATTTCTTTCACCCCCTGGGCCCTCAGCTTCCCTTTGGAGTCAAATACATCAATCTTCTAAATTAAAAACCAAAAACTCTTTTAAATACATGAATGTTGCTCTTCATTCCTGATCACATACAAGGGCCAAAAAGGTTTACTCATTTAGGGAAAAATATGTACTGATTTTGTGGGAGATGAAATGTGTTATAACACATTTAAAAACATTTAGCTGGACAATGGTGGCACACACCTTTAATCCCAGCACTTAGGAGGCAGAGGCAGGTGGATCTATGTGAGTTTGAGGCCACCCTGGTCTACAAAATGAGTTCCAGGACAGGCTCCAAAGCAACACATAGAAATCCTGTCTCAAAAAAACAAACTCAAAAATAAAAATTAAAGGGGCTGGTGGGATGGCTCAGCAGTTAAGAGCATTGCCTGCTCTTCCAAAGGTCCTGAGTTCAATTCCCGGCAACCACATGGTGGCTCACAACCATCTGTAATGAGGTGTAGTGCCCTCTTCTGGCCTGCAGGCATACACGCAGAAAGGATATTGTGTACTAAATAAATAAATAATATTTAAAAAGAAAAAAAATTAAAAAAAGATTTATTTCCTGTTAGTTGGAAAATAAAAATAAATTTAGGAAACATTCCTTTAAGGTAAATAGCCCTATGATTGTGTATTAAATTAAAATTCTTATCATTGTAGTGATAGTTTGTGTTTTAACAAATACAGCTTGTCTGAAGATCAGAATGCAGAGCTAAGCCACTATGGGCCAGGCAGTGGTGGCTCACACCTTTAATCCCAGTACGTGGGAGTCCCATGTCTTTAATTCCAGCACTAGGGAGGTGGAGATAGGAGTGATATGGCTGGGCTGAGAGTGGAATATAAGGTGGGAGGAGACAGGAGCTCACTGCAGTCTGAGATTTGGTGGAGACAGATGCAGTCTGGAGATGCAGTCTGAGGACAGGATCAGCCCTTTGGTCTGAGCATTGGTAGAGGTAAAAGAAATTTTTGGTGGCTGGCGCTCTGCTTCTCTAATCTTCAGAATTAACCCTATATCTGACTCTGGGTTTTTATTAATGCCAATTAGAGTTTGTACTACATCTGGTGCCCAACATTTGGGGCACAAATTCACAAAAAAAGCTGTTTGCCTGTGGCTTTGCAGCCACTGGCGCAGCTGGAGCTACGAGACCAGAGTCACCATCGTTCCTACTAGGTTTTCCTTTTTTCTCTCCTGGTGGCCTTTCCCTGGACCCCCATTTTCCAGGCTGCTTCCAAGCTAGGTAGCTGCCTTGACACCTGCTCAGGCTTCTACTGATCTACGCAGCAGCAGTCAGCCTCACTCTTCATCGCCATTGTTGGCAGACTTGGTGAGACAGTTGGGAATTCTTAAAGGGGGGATTAGTTAAAAGTTTTCCCCATGTTAAAAAATGGAACCCACAATTATGACAGAAAAAGTTAGGTCTCTGTATGATTGTGTAATACATTATTTAAAAGTAGAACAATTAAATAAAGGGATAATCAACTTAACTGGGACTAACACACTGTTAATTATAATTTTTGATAATCCTTATGGTTTTGATAATTTTTTTGGCTTATCTCTTAAAAAGTTGTTTGGTGTAAATGCTAAGATATAAGCCATAGAAAAACCTAAGACAGATCCTACAGATATTCAGATTCAGACAGAGGAATTTAAAGGAGAACCAATCTCAGCATTGCATTATAAGGTTAGAGAGGAACAGCCTAAGGTTTTCAAACAACCAACCTTAATATATCCAGTAACCTTACAGGAATTGCCAAATGAGAGAGGCTCTATTAGAGCTGAATGCACTTCTATGCCAACCAATGTTAGATTTAAGGAGATTCAAGGAAGTGAGAGTCTCATATGGTATGCATTCACGTTTTGTGAAGGAAATGTTAAACTTGTGGTCATTTTCTAATAGACTTATCCCTCAAGACTGAAGAGACTTTGTTACACAAGTCTTGGAGCCTGTCCAAAATGACAAGACTTGGTGGAAAGAAGAGGCTCTTACAGTGAACAATGGAGTAGAGCTGGAGGTATGGAAATCTCCCAACATCAACTTTTTGGAGAAGGAGATTATGCTAATATGTAAAGGCAATCTCTATATGATGGCCACACTCTGGTTCTATGTCATGCAGCAGCTTTGAATGCTTGGGACAGAATTGAAAAAGTAGGAAAAAAAATTGAGTCATTTACTAAAGTCATACAGGGCCCCCCCAAAAAACTTACACTGATTTCTTACAAAGGCTGGCATCAGCAGTAAATAGAATGATACCAGATTCAGAAGCTAGACAAATAATAGTTGAATCTATGGCTTTTGAAAATGGCGCTGCACAATACTAAAAGGTAATAAGGCTATTAAAGACTAGGTCAGCACCTTCGGAGGATGGATCTGAGATACAATTAATATTAAAACTCATGACCGAGATGATGCTCGGATGGGAGAGGTGATTTCCAGAGGTTTGAAGAAAAATCAAAATGTTAAGTGTTTTAATTGTGGCAAATAAGGTCACCTTAAAGGGGATTGTAAATAGAGTGTTCCTAGAAACAATGTTTTTTTCTAAGCATAATTCAAACACAAAATCCCTGTGTTCTGGATTATGCAGAAGGTGTGGCAAAGGCAGGCATTGGACTAATGGATGTAGATCAAAGAGGGACATTCAAGGTGACCCTATGCTGTGGGGAGAACTCCTTGAGGGGCCTCTCATAGGCCCCTATGACAAATTCTGTTCAGTTGTTTCCTGCCATCATAGAGGAAACTCCTTCCCAGAGCAATTAAAGAACCTAATGCCTATAGTAAGAAACCATACTACTCTGGAAAATAGAATAGCTATAGAAGAGAGAACAAAACCTTCAGGAAGAACCATAAAGTGAGTATTTTAGCAAACTTCTGTAAATGAACAAAGACCAAAATTAAAAATATGAAAAATGACATCATTGAAGGTATGGTAGACACAGGTACAGTTGTAACAAGAACTGCACCAGAATATTGGCATCCAAATTGGCCTCTTCAGGAGGTAAATTTTCAGTTTCTAGGGATTAGATATCTTAGGTAAAATAGAATGTGAGATGGGTTGAATGTATAAGGCCAGAAGGACAGAGAGGAATATTAAAGCCATAAGAAGATGTGATTTGTTACAGCAATGGAATACACAAATTAACATTCCCCCAATCTTAGAAACAAACCATAAATTAATGTATGTTTCTGGGAGAAATATTACAAGGTATTATTAAGAATAGTCACTAACCATTCAGGTTGTACAAGAAGAGGGAACAACAACTTCTGATCTTTCAAAGGCACCAACAGCCCTACCTATAAAATGATTGACAGACAAACCTGTATGGGTTGCACAACAGCCTTTAACAATTGAGAAACCGCATGTCTTAAAACAGCTGGTAGAGGAGCAGTTAAATGCTCAGCATACTGACGAATTAACCAGCTCTTGAAAATTCTCCTGTGTTTGATATTAAAAATAAATCCAGAAGATGGAGAATAGCGACAGATCTAAGAGCTGTTAATAAGGTGATTCAACCAGTGGGTCCTCTATAGTCTGGCATTCCTTTGCCTAAAGGATGGCCTCTTACAGCTATTGATTTAAAAGATTGTTTCTTCATGATACCTTTACAAGAAAAAGAGAAAAAATTGCCTTCATAGTGCCTACTTATAATTCTCAGCCTGCTGAGAGATATCAATGGAACATTCTCTCACAGGGAATGTTAAAAAGCCCCACCTTGTGTCAATATTTTATAAGTCAGTCATTGGAAATGAAACAAACAATTTCCTCAATCTATAGTTTACCATTACATGGATGGCATTTTACCATCTGATTCAAATGTAGATTACTTTAGAATGTTTGAAGAAATAAAGAAAATTTTGCCTTGTTGGGGATTAAACATTGCTCCTGAAAAAAAAGAAGAGTCTATTAATTATTTAGGTTAAATACGTTTACAAGAAAATTAGACCCCAAAAGGTGCAAATTAGGAGAGATCAATGGCAGACTCTTAATGACTTTCAAATACTGCTAGGAGACATTTCATATCTATGGCCCACTATT